TCCCGCCCTCTGAGAATCTTCTAGCACAAACCTGCACAGCTGTCATCACGTTTCACCTTTCAGGACGCCGTGCTCAGGTTGTGTGGTGGAACCAGAGTAGGGCAGAAGCTCGGTGATACCAGAGCACAGAGCAGGAACACGTTAAAAATTAACATCCGTGAAAACCAGCAGTGTGTGAGACCTTGTTACGCCAGTGTCAGAATACGATGACTCGGGTGTTCACAGCAATAAGGAAGAAGTTACGATGCTTTCCCCTCTTCCTCTATTTTTTCCCGGCTTTATTGAGGTATAATTGACAAAATTGTATATATTTAAAGTGTACAATGTGAAGATTTGATATACATATATGTTGTGAAGTATTTACCACAATCAAGTTAATGAACACATGTCACACCTCACGTAGTCCCTTTTAAGATGTACTCTCTTAGCACATTTCTGGTACACAACACAGTCTTATTAGCAATAGTCACCATGCTGTACATTAGATCCCCATCTTATAACTGAGTGTTTGTACTCTTTGACCAACATCTCCCCGTTTCCCCCACCTGCCATCCTCTGGAAACCACCATTCTACTCTCTGTTTCCATGAGTTCAACTTTTTTTCCCTTAGATTCCACATGTAGGTTTATTTCACTTAGCATAATGTCTTCTGCATTCATCCATTTTGTCACAAATGGCAAGATTTTCTTCTTTTTGATGGCTGAATAATATTCCGTTGTATGTATATGCGTGTATGTGTGTTTTGCACATTTTCTTTGTCCATTCATCTGTCGAGGGACACTTAGGTTACTTCCACATCTTTGCTGTTTTGAATAATGCTGCAATGAACATGGGGGTGCAGATATCTCTTTGAGGTACTGATTTTATTTCCTTTGGGTATATATCGAGAAGTGGGATTGCTAGATAATATGGTAGTTCTATTTTTAATTTTTTGAGGAACCTCCATACTGTTTTCCATACTGGCTGCACCAATTTACAGTCCCACCAGCAGTGTACAAGGGTTCCCTTTTCTCCACGTCCCGCCAACACTCTCTGTTAATCTTTTTGACGACAGCCATCCTAACAGGTGTGGGGTGGTATCTCATTGTGGTTCTGATTTACGTTTCCCTGATGATTAGTGACGTTGAGCAACTTTTATGTACCTGTTGGCCATCCGTATATGTCTTCTTTGGAAAAATTTCTATTCAGGTCTTTTGCCCGTTTTCGGATTGGGATTTTTTTGCTATTGAGTTGTATAAGTTCTTTATATATTTTGGATATTAACCTCTTAATCAGAGGCATGATTTCCAAATATATTCTCCCCTTCTGTAGGTTGTCTCTTTGCTCCGTTGATGGTTTCCCCTGCTCTGCAGAACCTTTTAGTTTGGTTTTGCCCCACTTGCTTTTTATAGTATTATTATCAGGAAATAGTCCGCAGAAACTGAACGCTATGGGAAGATTAGATTCCAGATTTCCATTTCAACTACTATAACTAACTCCATAGGAGCACCCCCAAGGTGGGGAAAATAAATACCCTTGAACGTTGCTGGGATTGGAGCACGACTTACTTAGATTTCTGAACACACATTGAGGTTAATTCTGAAGGAGTCTACATTCTGAATGTGAGGTAAAACTCTAAAAAAAAAACTGCCTAAAATCCTTTTAGGAGTCAAATAGAGAACATAGCTACTCAGAAAATATAAAATGCTAAAATGGAAGAGAGATTTCTTTTAGAAAAACCAAAGAATTTCATCAGACAAAATATCCATAATATTATAGTTTTTAAGTTTTGTAACCAAATGCACTCATATGAGCAGAAAGCAGATTGGGAAGAGGTGTGAGATTCACAGAGCACAGACGTGTGGAGAACTGGCCTCGGTGTCGTTCCTCCGTGATGAGCTGTCGGGAGCAAGGCCGTGATTGCTGACAGCGGTCATACGAGGGGAGGGCCCAGCTTTGGTTTGGTTTGGTCGAGAACCGTACCAAACGTGGCAACAATTTATACAAAGCAAAACAACAACAATTAAAAAACAAAGGCACACTCGCCTGAGGCAGGCGTGGCGATGAGCAGGCCACCTGACACTGTGCCGGAAACAGGAGAGCAAGGCAGTTGACTCTACGATTTGGGGAGTGAAGTCGAGAGAAATAATTCACAACTCGGGGACGAGTCAGAGGGTGGCCGGGGGGCCCTGTGGTGCTGCGAGCGGCCGTGCGCGTGCCCCCGGCTCGGGCGTGGAGCAGACCCGCCGTCTCGGCCATGGGTTCCTGGGGTCCCGTCCCGAGGAGAGCGCCGCCCAGGCGCCATGCTGGGACAGTTACTGCTGCACCACAGGCCTGTGCCGGGGGCGGTGCACATCACTGTGCACATCAGCCCCAACCGGACGGACCTTGGAAGCACCCCGATGGGACACGACCCCACAAATAAGACATAGGAAGGACTTGTTATGGAAAAAGCAGAGCATCTGGAGCTGGCGCGTGGCCTCTGGCCCTCAGTGGTGTGGTTTTCAGTTCTCTAAGCCTCGCCCTCTTGTCACCGTAAAGGACAGACACTAATTGTACCACGTTGTAGCATTCTGTGGACGCCTTAGTCGTCTTCAGCAGGTGACTTGTCTGGTTTTACTGTGTGTGGTGGTTTGTTTCCACACTGCACCTGCAGGCGTGCACGGGAAGTACCCTGAAGTGAAAAGGAGAGCACGTGGCGGTGTGCACACATTAACTCACACTGCAGATGGGCCGGTAGACTTCGGGTGGGGGCTCGAGTTAGTGGGCTAGTTTGGGGAAATTAAAGGGACCAAGAAATACTGTTCCTTTTGTCACACTTTGGGAAGGAGCACAGAGGAGACAGACAGATGGACGTTGGAACTCGGGCTTCATTACTGATTAAGGGTCGGATGAGACGGGGTTCTGCACTGTCTTCCCTGTAGATCCCTTTGGTGGCCTGGTGAGGTTTAATGTTTTTAAATACATAAAATGAAATGCAGAGGATTATAAAAGGCATCGATTACACTGAAATACAGGAATGTATGAGCTTCACTTTAGTGAGTTATCTAACAGAATCCAGCAGCAGGCGATCGCTGCCGTCATCTCAGGTGAGATCACATGGGAAACCTGGAGGTCCTGCAGCCTCAGGGCTGAGATGACACCTGTGGTTGCTCGGGGCCACAGCCTTCCACGTTCAGATGAGCCTCCTGTGGTTGGTTGCCGACACCAATCACTGGAGGAAATGTCACATTCAGTTGGAGGTTAGTGGAAGTAAACACGTAGCTCTGTTCTCCTCCAGATTCACAATCCTGCTTCCCCTCTTGGATTCTCTCCATGGGCCCCAGGAGGCCGTGGATCCCAGGCTGAGACCTCCTGGATGAGAGGACTGGCTGAGCAGCTTCCTAATTAATGCTACCCCTGAAGGAGAATGATCCCCCCACTGCCTCGGGTGCAGCCAGACAAGGGGGGTGGATTCGCGGTGGGGGTGCAGGACACAAGGTGGAGGTTCCCGCCTGGCGGAGGGCAGACCGGAATCACCCTGCATCCCTGTGAAAGGATCAGCCCGGGAGTGTGAGCGAGCAGTCCCTTCCTCCTTCCCCGGGGCGGACTGATTGAGGAGCTTCAGACTTGTGTTTCTCTGACGTGGGTTGGCGTTAGCCCCCATGTGTCATATTACTGCCACGTCAGCCCAGTGATCCGAGAGGCCGGGCCCAGAGTGAGGGGTGTGATGTGGCTGGCCCTCGTCATTGCTCCCACAGAGGAGCCACCTGACCGGTCGTGGCGCGGGGTCCCGGCTAGTGTTTTCTCCCAGCGGTGCACCCTGGGTCACTGTTGCTTCGGGGTGGCCAGAAATAACCGCTGGACAGGGAGGGGGTGGCCGGGAGAAGGGCTGAGAATGTATCCTGTTACTCACTGAGAATCCGTGACGAAGGAGCAGGATGCTTCTGTTTTTTTATCCAAACTCCGTGTTGTCAGAGGGTCCTGCCGGGCTTGTTTATCTGCGGTGCCCAGCGTTGGTCACCGGCGGTGCAGTCACTGTGGGCCGCGTGTCTGTGGGTCCAGGCGGTGGCCGCTGGCCCTGTGTGGGGGCGTGTCCCTGGCAGGGCTGAGCAGAGCCCCACCATCTTTCCTGGGGCCACGCTGGAGCCTGAGGCCGAGCCCTGCCCTCCCATCTTCCCCCAGGTCTCATGCCCTCAGAGTCACTGAGCACTTCCCGCTGAGCCCACAGAGAGGTCGTGCGGAACGCTTTGCTGTTTTAACAGTTACTGCTAGGTTTTCCCTGGTTATCCCTCCTAACATGGAAACGTTCTCTTCTTTGTGTAGACATTTTAGAAATAATCTGTAGGTTGATACCGGTTGGGTTCTTAGTTTCCCTTATATTTAATCAGAGGTGGGACGGTTATATTCTTGGAGAAACGTGAACTTGGGGTCTGCTTCAGCCTCGGAGCCTCAGAGTGCCGCGTCGTCAGGTAGATGAGCTGGGCCTCTGCCCTCAGTCCAACCCTGAGTGTGGCCGTGTTCTCGCATCACCACGGCCGAGCTTCTCCCGGACAGGTCTCCTTCCTGCTCCTGGGACCTCCGTCCCTCTCAGACAGCCAGGAGCTGTGTGTCCCTCCTCCTCCCCACGTCCCTCCCCGCACACAGTCCCTCTGTGGTCACAGGCCGCCTGGTGGCATCTGGCTGCGTCCCTGTCCTCGTGACGAGGGTCAGGAAACCGTGTCACGGTGAAGAGCTCCCGAGGCCGACAACAGGGCAGGTTCCCTGTGTTCCTGCGTGGAGCGGGGACTCCAGGGCACACGGGCTTGCTCCTCTCGGCCTTTCCCACGGACACTGGGACAGAACGTGGGAAATCCAGGGGAAATTGTGGGAAAAGTGCTAATAGTGAGTTTGGAAACAAAGCAAAGCTTTTCATAAAAATTCCTGATTTCTTGATGTGTGAAATCAACTCACGTAATTGTAGTAAAGAATACAGTCTCCTAGTGATACAAATGTGAAAGAGAAGCATTCCAGGTTTCTCCCTTTCTCTCTCCCTCTGTTAGGACTTTCTGAAGACGTTTTCCGCCGATGTCTTCCGTCTCTTCTGCATGCGGAGCAGCTACAGGTCAGGTGAGCTGAAAAGCAGACCTTCCGGGGTGGCGGCCACGGCATCTGCTCCGGTGTAGCTCGGGAAAGAATCTTGGAGGGTATTTGGGGACTGCCAGGATACGGCTGAGGAATACACACAATCTTGCTAGTGTGGTTGCTTTGATGCCTTAAGGTTTGGGTTCTGAAAGTAAGCCCGAGGATGTGCTGTTAGGAAGCATAATCCCAGTACTGGGCTGGAAGATTCCAGAAGGTTGTCTCATGGAGGCCGTGGGTTTTCCAGTCAGTCCTGCCCCTCCTCTCCCTCTCTGTGGGGTCCGGACAAGTCTGAACCCCGCAGCGCCTCTGCTTCCTGAAATGGGAACAATTGAATTGGCCGTCTTCACACAGAGCCTGAACCAGGAGCCCTGAAACAGGGTCCCACCAGGGTAGGCTGTCCCCACCAGGCTGTGCTACTGCATGCTGCCCCGGGGGGTCGTCCAGCAGTGTGTCCCCAGGGCCAAAGGGCTCTCTCCCAACCCAGAAGGCGGGATCCTGGGGCAATGCCCTGTCTGGCTTGACCACTGTAACGGCAGTGTGGCCTCCAACGTCTGTGACTGGCGCTGGAGGAGGAGCAGGTGCCCTTGGGGGACAGATGGGCTCCTCAGCTCATGCACTGGGCCTGACCGTGTGGCAGTGGAGGCAGAGATTGGGGTGAAGTAGCCACCAGCCCAGGAATACCTGGGCCACCAGAAGTTGGAAGAGACAGGAAGGACCCTCCCCTAGAGCCTCTGGAAAGAGCACAGTCCTGCCGACACTTTGATCTCAGTCTTTTTCGCCTCTAGAAAAGTGAGAGGATAAATTGCTGTTCTGTGGTACTTAGTCACGGCAGCCCCAGGACGCTAACACACCCCACACGGTGCTCTGGCTGCGTGCTGTCTGCGGGGGCCTGGATGTGGGTGTCCAGTGGCCCAGGTGGGCTGGCCCCGGTGGAGCGAGTGTTCTTGGATCTGTGTCACGTCCTCTGAAACGCTGAGTGTGAGGACAGCCCTCTCTCCCTCTCCTGAAACACTGAGCCCAGTCCTCATCGCACCACTTGCCTGATGTTCTTGGAGGTGCTTCAGGCGCCCAGGCGGATCTCCCCCACTTTCCAGAATCACCTGTCTCTCTGTCCATCTGTCAGCGGGAATGAGCCCCCTTGGCTAAAATGTATTGGGAGAGGTTTCTCATGTTTCCTCCGAGGTGGCGAGACCCCTGAGTCAGGACGGACCCTGGTGGTCTGTGCGGGGCAGGCCTGGGAGCCGCTGTGTCCCTTTTCCACTGCTTGGTCCTGTGTGAGGACAGCCCGGCTGAGAATGCAGGGTCTGCAGGGTGGGGGCGTGCTTGACAGGCACCCCCAGTGACGGCCTCCCCTCTGCAGCCATCGACTACAGCGATGGCACCATGCTCGAGGCGAAGCACCTCCTCCTGGCCACAGCTGCCTTCGTCGAGGATGCGCGGGCCTACATGAAGGGGCAGCTGGTGTGCGGCCCCGTCAGGGAAGACGTGCTATGGGAGAGGTAGGTGCCACCCCAGGGTCCACCCAGACATGGGGCCGCCTAAGAGGGAAGCGAGGCTTTGGGGCCGAGGACACTTCCTTGAGAGTGCTGGCGCAGAAGCTCCCTCAGGGCTCTCTGGCCTTGGGTGAGTCCTTGGGCAAGACCGTGGTCCTTGGGCAAGACGAGGAGGCCCTGCCTGCGGGGTGGCCCTCCTGCGGGGTGGCCCTGCAGGTTACGCGTAACACGCGTGCCTGGCCCGGTTCCCGCTGGTGTCTGTTAGTGTGTAGGAAATGAAGGTTCTTGTCACACGCCTTCAAGGAGGACTTGCAGGCAGGTGGACGAGCTAGACCGTTGGGGAAAGGAAAAGGGTGGGGACGCCGGTCTGGTGACTCAGCTCAGACCCACATCAGGAGAGACCGACGAGTCTGTGGAAGTCGGGCGTGGCCCCCACTGCTGTCACCCCAGGAAGAAATGCCCTGGCGTTTGAGCCCGCCACCTGGGCTGTGCTGGCGGCTGCGGGACGGCGGCAGGCAGCCCGTGAGCGAGCTGAAGTGGGAGAGCGAGTACGAGGAAAGAAGGGTCTCCTGACTCGCCGGACCTTCAATACGGAGAGTGTTTCCAGTTCTCTTGCTTCGTTAAACGCTTACAGGTGTTTATGCTTGTTTGTTTTTGTGAGGAAGATCAGCCCTGAGCTAACATCTGCCAACCCTCCTCTTTTTGCTGAGGAAGACTGGCCCTGGGCTAACATCCATGCCCATCTTCCTCCACTTTATGTGGGACATGGCCTCAGCATGGCCTGGCAAGCGGTGCGTCATTGCGCGCCCGGGATCCGAACCCTGGCCACCAGCAGCGGGGCGCATGCACGTAACCACTACACCACCGGGCCAGCCCTATCCTGGTTTTATCACGTCCCAGAGTGTGGAAGACTTGGGATTACCATCAGAGATGGTGAGGAATTGAGAAGATTATGGAAGCTAGGGAAGCACCTGTCTGGAGACGAGGCAGGCGGGAGGGCCGTGCAGCAGTTCATCAGCGTTTATCGGACACTGATGGTGGGCGGGGGGCTGCGGGTGCTCGGAACGCTATGGGACGTGCCCCTTCCTTGAGGAATTCCCCGGAGGGGTCCAGAACCCTGGACTCATTTGGGGCAGGTCTGGGAAGGGGGAGCATCTGGACAAGACAGGGCTGGAGCTGAGTCTGTCAGTCACAGCCGTGGGACCCCAGGGGACAGAGCCCAGAGCACGGGGGTGGGACACCTCGGGGGTTTGTGTGGCTGGGAGCTGTCAGCAAGACTCCACAGCCACGGGATGGCCGGTTCGAGGGAGGGACAGGGGAACACTCTTTGTCTTGGGCGACTGGTAACACTGCTCACCAACAGGTGCGTAGGGGAAGATAGGGTCCGTTTATCAGAGAGGAGAGGCCAGGTTATGCTTTGTGACAAACAGCCCTGGATCTCAGTGGCACAAACCAGAAGGTCTGTTTCTTTCTCGTCCCTCAGGGGCCTAGGCTGGAGAGCAGCCACCGTCTCATCAAGGGCCCCAGGCTAGAGGGAAGAGAGTCTCCTGGGGGCTTTGCCTCCGCAGTTCTGGCCCAGAAGTGGATGCCACTTCTGCTCCCAAAAGCCGGGACTGGTCCCAGGGCCCCACCCTGCTATGAGGTAGCCCGGAGATCAGTCCTTCCCTGTGCCCAGAAAGGGCGGAAAGGAAGTGGGGTGAAGACCAGTAACGACGGACAGCAAGGAGAGAAAGCCTCGGAGGGTCCGTGACAGAAGCGGCAGGTGTGCAGAGACAGGAGGGCTGAAGGGGACCTGAGCCAGGAACCGGGAACCTCAGGTGGGACAGAGGTGCAGGAAGGCAGGTGAGGAGGAGGGCGACGGCAATGGGCGGAGAAGAAGGTGAGGAGGTTGACTTCCCAGGAGATGCTCTTGAGGGGTCTGAGAGCAGAGAAAAGGAGAGAGAGAGGGCTGCCCGCTCACAGCCAAGGCAGGGGCCGTGGACAGGCGGGGAGGGGTCTGTGTTCTCCGGACTCAGCAGGGGTTCCAGTCCTGCTGGGACCCCCGGGCCCCTAGAAGCTGTGTACTCAGCCCTGCTGCCCAGAGAGGCCTCGGCGGCTCTCCAGTGCAGGCAGAGCTTGAGGGGGAGCAGAGCGTGACCGTGACCAGGACTGGGGGACAGTGAGACAGCCAGGCCCCCGGAGAGCACTTCTGCCAACCCACTAGCCAGGACCTGAAGCCCCAGCCAGTCCCGCTCCCGGCACCCGCCTGCTCCTAGGGTCCCGAGCAGTGCCACCGAGCCTTCACCATGCCAGCACGGTCGCACAGTGCAGTCCAGTTAAGAACATGGCCTCCTCTCTCACTAACTCTGCTTCGTTTCTCACTGCCCAATTTTTAAACCATTGTGAAGTGCCACCTGTGTGCTGTGTGTTCACACAGGTCTACAGGTGCCCTCACTCTTGGATTTCTGGGCAATGTGACAATTCTGAGCTGGTCTCATCAGGTTAAGATTCTGTTACTTGTACAGGTGTTGGTGAACTTGACCTAGAAAGGGTCCACAAAACAGAATCACTCGAGCTTCTCCCCCTGGAAAGACTGGGCTGTGCACCGTCTTCCTTGACGGGCGTGACAGCCGCCCTTGTTTCTCCTCATTCTCCTCCAAGGCTCAGCCACACCAAGGGGGCTGTGAAGGCTGCCCTGGCAGACGACTTCAACACGCCCGGGGCCGTGGACGCTGTCATGGACCTCATTCACCACGGGAACAGACAGCTGAAGGCGGTCACCAAGGTAACTCCGGGGACTTGGCCAGAGTAGGTTTTCTGTTTGGTCGGTTTTTCCTCCTAAGGAAGGAACAGACGCCACCTTGCCAACTCCCTGGGGTGACTTCATCTCCCACAGCTGATGGCCTTCGGCCTCTCCTGACTAACCCTTCCTTAAGTTCTTGGAGCTGCTTCAGCTCGCATGTGGCCCACCCTCCTGGCCCTGGGGAGGAGGCAGCCGCTGCCCAGGCCGGGGGAGGTCGATTCGGGTGCAGGTGGGGCACAGGGCGGTCTGCACACGACAGTCAGCATGGCTGCCAGCACGCAGCACGTAACCCTCTGTTCACTCAGATGAACTCGGAATAATCTCCATTTGCTGCTAAGACGTGAAATGGGGGAGGAAGCTGTGTGTTGGGACCCCGACTCTGTGCCCACCCAACCCGGCCCCCCTCTGGGCCTCAGCGCCAGTCCCATTGATGAGGCTCTGCCCTCGTGACCCAGTGACTTCTCAAAGGTCCCCTGCTAACACCATCACCCTGGGGGCTAGGGGTCACCACTGAATTTGGGGGGACACAGCATTCAGACCATGACACACCCCCATACTACAGATAGGGAAACCGGGGGCAGGGGTTCAGTGACTTCCCCACGGTCGCTGGGTTTGCTGGTGAGTGGCAGCTCCAGGATTCCGTCCGGTGTCTCTGGCCAGGGCTCATGTCCTCACCACACGGGACGCTGGGAAGGCGGCAGGCACAAGTGACTGCGGGGTCTTTGTTCTTCTGCATCAAGTTCCTTTGCTTCTCAAGAGGCTCCTCTGCGTAATGTGTCACAGGAGCCTGGTGGTCCTAGAAGTCCTGCTGTGTTCGGCTCCATCGTGTCCTATGTCGAGCAGTTTTTTGAGACTGTTGGAATTTCTCTGGCAGACCGACAGGTACGCCCTTCTCTTTTCAGTCCTCAGCTGAGGGATTATGTCTATGTGCTAGTACGATAATAACTGTTCTTTCCCTTTTAAAATGTTCATTTTAATGGATAATAACTGAAATTGCAACGATTCTGCACAGAACCGCAGTCCGTGTTACCTAGAGTGCTGTGTCCCTTCTGCATGCACTGGTTTTTGTGTTATCTTGAAAGAATCTCAAGATGTACAGACAGCTAGGCGTACAGGAAGAGAACCTTCTTCCTGAGCCATCTGTGCGTCTCCTACAAACGGGGCTCTGTCCAGTCCAGACCCTTGGGCTGCCCCTTCCTCCCAGCGCTGCCCTTTCCAGCAAGAGGGTCCACTTCAGAAGCCGCGATGCATTCACCCATTGGGGCTCGTCTGGTACTTTCTCTGCACCGAGCCAGGAGCTGGCTGATCCTCCGAGGGGCCGGGCTGCTCCACAGAGAAGGGTGTTCAGAGGGAGGGTCTGAGCACTGGGTATGCTCTCTGTGCCTGGGCCGCAGCGGCTCGGGGACCCCGGCGGGCAGAGTCAGGAGGTGCGTGTGCACACTGCACACCGTGCACACCATATCAGCTGTGTTGCTGTATCCATCTCACTGACCTAAACCCCGGTGTTACCACCAAACCTCGTTTCCAGTCCCCCACAAAGGGTTCCTTCTGCTTTCCTTCTTTTCTGTGGGTAACTCCTCTGATAGTGAGAAACCGGCCTTCTAGTCTCCTAAATGTATTTACTACTGTGTTGTTCTCTCCACACGCAGTCAGTCTCCCTTTGCCACCCACCCTGTGCTGCCGCCTCCTCACTCGCTGGACGCTGACCTCCCCACCCCTCAGTCCATCCCCCCGAAGCAGGCTGCCCTCTGCATGGACACTTCCTTGGGCTCTGACACCCCACACCAGACCCCACCCCCCAGCCCCTCTCCATGGGCCCACCTTGCTCTGCTGCACCTAACAGCTTTAGGATTATTTAGGAAAGGAAAGGGCTAAAATACCCATTTTTAAAAACATTTTATGTGAACAGGTTGTTAACATGTAAAGGTCTGGACTGCAGACAGGAGTGACCACATCACAGGGGCAGTGGAATCGCTCTCTTCCCAGATTCCTTTACAGCACTGCCTGGTTCTTCTGCCGCCACGGGGGCTTGGGCATGGCACAGCTGCTGCCTGCTTCAAAGGGAGGCTGTGTGTTAGCTCAGCTGCCCGGCACCCAGAGGCTCCTGGCGCCCCCGTGCCGTGAGCTGGGGCACATCTCTTGGGACCTATACTACTGTGAAGTTCTCTGGCCTTAACACAAAGAATCACAGCATCTTTGTGACAATTCCAAGACTGGTTTATCGACAGACGTGTCGATTCCCTGGTAGGCCCAACATCCTCTCCGGGGCAGCCAGCCAGTTCATACGACATCTGTAACTCACTGGTCCGCGGTGACCAAGGTTTTGCAAGGTCTGTATTCACTGTCACAGGAGACTCTCCAGAGTCTGCTGTTGGCTAAGAAAAGGCATATTGGCCAAGCTGTGCCTGGCCCTCGTCACAAATAGCTCCCCCACCTCTCCCACCTCAAGGGTTGACACTGGAGCCCGGGTTGGGCTCCCATTTTGTAACAAGAAAAGTGCTCTTGTATTGTGGAAGCAACTGAGGATCACGTGGTTGAAGAGGTGAAATGTGAGTTCTGTTTCTTCTTTTAAACACGTGGACATAAACGGCCACTAGGATCCTTGCTCCATCATGGAGAAGGAAGTTGTGTGCCAGGGAGAGGACTCCTGGCAACTTGTGGTTCAAATCCCAGTTGCCCAATTGAAATTCCTCTGGCTGGGCACTGCGATGCTGGTCTCCGACTGTCCGGTGAAAACGCAGTGTGTGTGTGAGCCTCCTGGGGTGTCTGCAGTGTTGATGTATCTGGTATCTGAAGAGGTTGGTTGCATTAGTCGGTAAGGCTCAGACTTCTAGCTCTGCCTGATGAACCGGGTGAGATATTCGCACGTCAGTGCAGCGGCAGCTCCCAGCTCATTGGCGTGAGTTCATGGTGGGAAGAGAGCGCGCTGGCCAGCTCCAGGCCTCACTGAGACTCCTCCCGGGGAGGCCTGCAGAGGGTAGGGAACTCTGCCTGGGTGACTGACGTGCAGGCGAGGATGGAGACCAGCCAGCAGTCCGGCACCTCACAGCCTCTCCCCCCAGGCGGGGTGAGAAGAGCCGGCCGCCACTTCCCGGCAGAGCCCTCTGGAGGACGTGTGCTGGATTGGCTTGGCACAGAACTCACCGGGCCCCGTCAGCTGGGCCAGATCTAGGCTGCTGCCAGGGCCTCGCTGGTCACACTGCCGCCTGGGTGTAGTTTGTTTCAGGGGACAGCAGCTCGGCCACTCTGCACAGCGTGGTGGAGGAGCTGGTCCGGTTCCGGCTCAAGGTCCGGCAGTTTGCCCTGGCCACGGGCGAGGCCACCAGGGAGGCCCGGAGGCAGCAGCTGCTGGAGAGGCAGCCCCTGCTGGAGGCGTGCGACGCCCTGCGCCGGGACCTGGTCGCCCATGGCATCAGCATCAAGGTGAGCCCTTGCCACCGAGGCCTGGTGACAGCAGGGGTGATTGTAGTTGTAACCAACCAGCACTGCACACACATGGGACGGTCAGAACTCAGACATCCCCTCCCTGTGACAAATTAGGAGGGACCCGAGGGAGGGGCAGAGTCAGAGCCGGGAGGGACACTGAGGGGGGGATCCGAGGGAGGGGCAGTCAGAGCAGGGAGGGACACTGAGGCCCAGGGGCCTGTGAGCTTGAACACTCAGGGGCGGACACAGGAGCAGACCCATGTCCTTGATCAATCCCCGCTCCTGCCCCGGCGGCCCTGCCCTGGCCTTCGGCCTGCCTATGGAAGGCAGCAGTGTGACCGTTTCTGAGCGCACAGCTGCCTCCTTCAGTGCCCAGACCAGTGGAAGCATCAGGGGCAGCGCGTCTTGTCACTCTGAGCCCTGACCATCTGGCCCATTTACCCCTTGAGCCGAGTGAGTGCTCAGCCAGGACCTTGACCTTCTTCCTCTCCAGGACAGGAGCAGCACATCCACATGGGAACTGCTGGGTCAGAGGGCCGAAAACCACAAACCAGGGAGCTGAGGACGCGTTATGTGCCTGCTTACGACGCAATAAAAGCTTTATATTCAAGTTGCCCATTGTGGCTGTGTAGTCAACATTAAAATAAATCAAACTGATAAGTCAAACCGATACTGTAACTATGCCTAAAAATGCATTTCCTTGTAGTACCGACGGCCACAGACACAGTGCGGTTTTCGTAAAATCAAATCAGCCAACACTGTGGTCCATGATGCAGCCCAGCTGGCCCTATGCCCCAGGGTCTGGCACCACGGGAGGACCGTGAAACCGTGAGCCAGAGACCAGGATGGAAGTCCTAAAGGGGGTCCCTGAAGACATCCTGGGAAGGGCAGACGGGACCTGCGAATGGGGCCGACAGGGCAGAGGCTCCAAGGACGCCCCTTATCCCGAGGGTCTTGGGGGATGTGGCCATGTCGCCTGGTCCAAAGCAGGAGGAAGTGGCCCAGCCCTCAAGTGCTGGGCAGTGCTGAACTGGGGGTGATCCCGACCATGGAGGCTCCCCGCCCAGAGGTGATGGTGCATTTTGACATTTGTTTTTCTCGTTATGATAGTAATATGTTAATCATAGAAAAGCATACATTGGCGGTGAGCATGATGTAGTCTATTCAGAAACTGATAATGTACACCTGAAATTACACGTTACAAACCGTTACCTCAATTAAAAAATTTTTTAAAGTCATAGAAAAACATAGCAAAGAAAACTCTCTGTGGTCATTCTGCCACATTCTGATAGCTGTTCACGTTTACTCGGTTTAATCTTTTTAACAGTTGGTTCTGTGGTGTCCCATCACCATCCTTTGTTGCCTGAGCGACACAGGGGCCAGGGCTGTGCTCGAGAGGGGTTAACTCTGGAGGAGCCTGGCAGGGGCAAGACATGGGTGTGACTGACAGCTGGCCAAGCTGGACCCCACTTGCTGGCGGCCTTGCCCTGTGTCCTGGCCTTTTGTCACAGGTGGGGAGCTCAGCTCTTCAGTGAACCAGCAGGAAACGGGCTGACCCTCCTGCAGCACCCCCCGGCTCTCAGAGCCTGACCGGGCCCACCCTGTTGTCCGCTACCACCAAGCTGGGAGACTGATCGCGTGGCCCCAGCCCCGGGCAGCAGGTAAGCACACACTAGGACGGCTCGGCAGCCGTGTTTACTTTGTCACTGGCCTTCAGGACCTGAAAAGGCACTGCTGTTCCTAGTCTACAGACAGGGAAGCCTGTTCAGAGGCTGAATGCTAAAAGTGACCCAACTAGTGACTGGCAGAGCCAACACCCCAGATGGCTGGGAGACCCCTTACGACGAGACATCCAAATAGGGTGGATCCAGTCCTCGGGGAGCAGCTGTCCCGACGGCTGGACACCTGACTTGACCACGCATGCGTACTTCTGTGCTGCTGCTCTGCTCTCAGGGAAGCTCGCAGGAAGAGAGGGTCCTTCGCTGGAGCTGGTGAGCACACACAGGTTTGTGAAACAAGGAAGCGACGACTAACTGCATTTAACATATTGGCCTATCTCCCTTAAGCAAAGGGATTTTGTACTTGGAGCAAAAACTTAACAAAAAACATAACAATAGTTTCTGTGATTGCTGATTTTATTTTCTATGGAAAGAAATGGCTACATTTCAGGCTTATTCTTCAAATTACTTCATTTTAACAATATTGGTATGCATTGGTGAAATAACATTAGACAGCCTTATATATTTTTATCTCCCCAGTATCTGACAATGTCCTCCCTTAGGAAAGTTGAAAGGTGGGTTTTGGCTGTTTAAGAAAAAAATACAAAACTCTTCATTGTAATAAACCAGATCTGCCTTTTAACAGTTACCAGAATTTAGGTGTAATTCCCCAAAGGAAAAAATGTCCATGACAGTTTTTCTGGAGAAGTTTACATATAGATGGTGAAGCTTCTAAAGTTAGATGTGAAATAACAGTGGCAAATGTTTTTTAATAAATCTTACTGGTTTTAAAGAAAGTAGGATCCATCTGGGGTGAGGTGTTTGAATCACAGTATCACCCACGAGTGACTGTCAGGGGCAGACAGACTCAGAGGAAGCAGACAGGTCCTGCCCTTGTAGAAGGCTTGAAACGTATGCAAGGGCAACTCAAACACACCCCACTGAGGAATGACCAGAGAAAACAAGTAACTCCGGCCACTGAGAAAAGCACCCGTACAAACAACCTCCATACCGACAACCAGACAGAAGTTAGAGGCTGACGGTCACAGAGGCTAACGAGACAGACGTCTCAGGTGCTACAGTTGCAGAGTACCCACTTCCCGAATGGAATCTCAGTCTTCCTGAGGACACACCCACTTTCAAAGCAGGAGGACCTGCCGTCCCGCAGGCGTGAGGACGACGTTCAGTCCCCCGGAGCCTCCTTGGTGCCATCTTCCTCCAGACCCAGCACCCCAGCCTTCCACATGTCTAACGTGTCTGCTTCCTCCCAAGAGCACACTGATGGGCCACGTCAGGAAGAATGCACCACAGCTCTCGCGGGCATGCCTCCCTCTGCTGTGCGCCCTGCTGGGGCTTGTCAGCCAGCACATGGACTGGTGTGCACACAGACGTGGCAGAGTGAGCGTGAGACACGAGGTGTTTCAGAGCCCCCACCCCAAGTTCAGGTATCAGGATCCTATTGAGTTTCCCTCTTTGACTTTCCCACAGTGCCTCCCAAAGATTGCCAAGGTCAAACTGGATGTTCTGAAATACTTCAACCAACTAACCAAAATAACCAAGGCTTAGTATTTCTGCCCAGACGTTTTCAACCTAACTGTTTAAAAAACAAAAATGAGTTCCAGAACGAATGCCACATCCTTTAGTGGGCCTCAGTTAAAAAAATGCAGAACCCATTCTTCACAGTAGATACAGCAGATATCTGAAAATGACTGATGGATCCCCCTCAGAGGAATAGCTGATAAATCGGGAACTTCTTGCTTAAGTAAAAGGAACATGAAGCATGTCAGTAAAGAGAACGAGAAAAAACAAGCTCAGAGAGATTAAAACAGAACTCTGTGGTCTCGGAGCAAGCCCACAAATTCAGCTGAGCTGGTGGAAAGACTGTCTCATTCTCATGTGTGATTCTCTTCATTTTTTCTCATTTATTGCTGAGAAGCTAAGAAAAGTTCAGGAATACTTTGTTTAGTGTCACTATAACATCTCCAGCTACATATTAGTTTAGCCAAAATCTGACATTCCAAATCCTGGAATTTCTGCGTCAGCCCACGTATCCTACACTTAGCACCCTCCCGAGCAGCTGTTCTGCGCTGCCACCCAGAGGGTTCGGATGTGCTGGATGTGGGTTTCCCATGACACATGCCATCACCCCCGCTGTGTGTTCACTTCCTTCCAGTCCGCACTGGCTCAGGTTTCAAAGAGACTGGTGAATGCAGGTCCAACTTCTGCGATCATGTCAGTGGTGGTGGTGGAGCGGCCATGCTTCTGGAAGGCTTGGCGGCTGCACTGCCTTGTGAGGGAGCACGCGCCGAAGGCAGCCACAAGGAGAGGACTGAAACTGAAGAGGAGAGAAGTCAGCAGCCTCCCTGCTGCGTCAGACCTCAGGGCCTGCAGCCAGCACAGGCTCTGAATTTCCCTCCCCTTCCTACCCTGAGACCCCAAATTGGCAATTTCAAGTCTAATATGCCCCTGAGGCAGAAAGCAGCTTATTTCAGTTAGAATAACCATTAACCCGACAGTGAGACTCCCTAAAAGGCTTATGGAAAATACCTAGGCGTCTGGAGAAGGCCCGGACACAGCAGTTCCTGCTGGTGAAACCAGACCAGCACTTAGTGGTGCTGGTTTGCAAGTGCTCTGCAGTGCCCAGATGTGAGGGAATACTCCGAATCCGAGAAGCTGGCTCTTGCCACAATTTAGACTCCGGCTAGAGCCTCTCCTTCCACAGTCACACGCCCACTGGGCCCGTTTGGCCGGTGCTCCCTGCCTGCCAGGTGTACCTCGACTTCTTGGGCCCTGTAGACCCGGGACATCCCACCAGGCATGTGGGGCCATCACTGTCACCATGCTGAGTGTAGAGAAGAGAAACCGAGGCTCACAGAGGGGTGGGACTGCCTGAGTTCACTCACAAAGCTGTCCGACAGCAGAAATGGGCCAGAGCCCGCGTCGTAGAATTCTGCTCCCTCTTAAAGAACACTCGCATCCCTCAGGACAGCATCCAGCTCCACCTTACCTCTGCCCCGCATGTTTCCTATCTTAATATCTTGTTTTACAGACGGTACACATTAGTCCTCCTAGAACAGTGTTTTCAAACGGCGGCACAGCAGAATTCGCTGGAGAGCTTTAAAAACTACTGATGCCACGAGCCCATCAGCATTGATGGACAGGGCGGAGCCCAGACATCGCAGAGAGTTACAAGCTTCCCAGGCCAATGTTCTGGGATCCACCCCTGCCCTGGGATCTCTCACACACAACACCAGTATCTCATGTGGAATGTTCTAAGCGGCTACTTATTAAATGTATGAGCTACTAAAATACCTTACGCAGTTCAAAAATTTCACAGTAGGAGAGATGACGATGTGGCCGTACCCATTTGTTTTCTCGGGTCCAGCGAGGAGTGCCCAGTGCACCAGGACACCCAGGGAGCCTGAAAGGAGGTCTCCCTGCCCCCCACACCTGCGGCTGCTGCCTTCCTGGCTGCACTCGAGCACTGCAGAGCAGAAGGTAGACAGGGTTAGAGGGGTGACGGCGCCCACGATGCGCTCATCTCTGCTGGAGGTATGTTCTAGATCATCTACGGAGAAGAGTGCAGCTACACAGGCACACGCAGGGTCCTCAGTCCCACAGTTCCTGAAGCCAAGCCTGCCAGGGCACCTCACACTCCAAGGAGACACGCACAGCGCCAGCGCCCCCTGCGCAGACTCGGCCCATGACCGTTACGATTTCATTCATGCTGTGCAATGAGCAGTTTCTGGTTCTTTGGAAAATGTCTTGAAAGTGGGTTGTTGTATTCTCTGAATGTGTTAGAGTCTAGAGCACCTTCCAGCAATACAAGAGCCCGAAGGTTTCAGGGTCCCTCAGAGAACACTCTGCATCTCCCGTCCAGCGTGAGTGCACACACATGCCTAAGCGTGCCTCCCGTTCTCTGTGGGCCCTGACCTGCGTGAGCGGGCCAGCAACTCTACACCTAGGCAACAATTCTTTGTATTAAATGCTGTTAAAATAATTGGTGTGCTTTTTGCCTCCATATCAGATTTTTAAGGAAGGGAGGATTCCTGTTTTCGGGAGGCTGCAGATATGATACAATCGATCCACGGCCACGAATCTCCCTGTGCTGACACGAGTGCCCACAGCGCGTCTTAGGTGCTCCCCCCGTGCCTCCATCTTGCTCTTGCTCAACCGTCTGCAGCCTCCGGTGGAAAGAACGGGACTGGAATATTCACCACATTTGGCGCCTGGTGATTCCTACCACTGGTGTCAGCTCCTACGGTTTCTTCATTTTCCAGTCATTTTATAAAACAGAACAAAACGCCATGAGATACTCAACTACACCTATGCCACAGGCCAGATGGAGGCGCAGGTCGGGGACCCTGGAGTACCACCTGCAGTTACAGCCGCCTGCCCACCGGACTGTCTCCTGTAAATCACTGACAGAACGTTAGCCACTGCACCTGGCATCAACTAGGATCAACACTCGTCGCTGTCACTTCCCTTCGCAAAGTAGGAAGTCCTTGGTGTGGAACTTATACGAACACGTGTGAAACACGAGTGATGTATATGATGTGTGCGTGTGTGACATGAGTGAGTGCCTGTGCTGGGTAAGCACGTGTGCCATGTGTGAATGAGAGGTCTTCCTGGGGCTCGTGCCCTGCATGATCACGCTGGCTGGCCGACACACAGGGGGAAGCCCCAGGCCACTCACCCTGTTTGCCATCGGAGATCACGTCCCGCTCCCCTTTCCGGACCACGGTCACATTCCCCAGGGCCTGGCTGAGTCTCAGCACAGCTTCCTGGGGATCGCTGCTGTCCACGGGGTCTCCCAGCTATTACATGGGACACCACAAACAAGGCTGTCATCAGATACGTGAAAGGAGCCCACAATTGTGGACACAGTGAACATCCTGGTCCTCAGACTCGCATGTCTAAGAGAATCCCCCAGGCACTTGCTAATGGCTGAGCTCTGGCCCCGCCCACAGAGACATGAGTTCCATCCACCAGGTGGCAGGAGGCCCAGAGTGTCGTGGGTAGCAAGTCCTCCAGGTAGATGCCCACACCAGCTCATAGCAGAAATACTGCTCTGGTGCCCATCCCTACCTTGTCAGACCAAAGGTAAAAAAACTCTGTCCATAGCTGGGATTTTAAACATTTGCAGAAGTGATACTAAGACACACTGATTAGAAGATGCCCCATCATTACATGCAATACCAAGAAAAAAGCAACACTGTTAGCATGTGAAAAACGTGCATCGTAGAACGCATGCATCCACTCGCAGTCTGCAAGTCAGTCCCTGCAGATGCACCCACGAGGACGAGTAGGGGCAGAACCGCAGAGCTTGTCCCTCACCCCTCCTCAGGATGAGGAGGGCTTGCACCCCGACTTTCCAGTGGTCAACAAACTCACCACAGCTTCAGAAAGTCTGCTGAACTCCATGTGGTTGGGAGTGAGAACAGCCTTCTGGTAGCCTTGGATCAGGGCCGGCTGCTGAGCGATCAGCCACAGCCCATCCTGCACAGACAAGGACATGTGTTTACTGCACGGCCTTGGGGGCCCAGTTGTGAGGAGGGGACAGGAGAGCAGAGGCCACACTCACTGCGTCGATGATGACAGGGACATCTCTGGCCCTTGACACTTCTAAAATGCCCTGCAAGAAAAGAGAGCCACACTGAGCACCAAGCACATCACCTCTCAGACGAATTAAAGAAAACCGAGCAGTTCCTTGATGAATTTCAACATTACGTCATCAACAGATAGAAAATAATAAAGTAAATGCATAAAATAAACAAAGAAGACCCAAATGAACCAACAGACTCCCTTTGTGAGGCAGGGCACTGGAACTCTGAAGACATAAGCCCATGGGCACTGTCATACACAGTGCTGGGTCCCAGGCTAGTCCATGAAGGCTGACCCCAAGCTAGCCTCTCCAGATTTCCAATAGATGCTAATCTTCAGGATTCAGAGATGGAAATCTGAAGTCTTGGGAATTCCCCAAATCATTAGTTTTTTTAATGTATTTTTCATAACACTTTATGTGTTTGAAAATAATGAGTGACCATAATCAACAAAAATCACTTCTCTCTGAAAAGGTTATGCTAAAAGTCTCAAAGGTTTTTTGCTAAAAAAAATTATATATATATGATCAATATATGGTTGCTTATTATTATGGACTGGTATTTTATGACAAGATTATATACTGTACTAGCATGTAAAAATGAGCTCTACCTAATACAGCCACTTCATAACAGAAAAAATTAAGAGAACAGTGAAAAAATATATGCTAAGTAGAAATCAAACACTGAAAGATACATGCACATCTATTTAATTACAAGTTATCATTCAGAAAAGTGCAGCGTGACACCCCACACAGCACGAGCCGCCCTGCCGACATTCTCAGTCACACTTTGCTGACACTCAGAGGGTGTCCAGAAGCCCCTTCACACGAGGGTCAGGGTGCGGGACACCATGGAAGCTCATTCCTTCTTTAACAGGACAATACTCTGTCTGCTTGCCTTGAGTTTGGCTTTACTGTTAACATTGATTCGGCTTTTGCTAATTCAGATTTTCTCCATCTCTAGTTTCACGCTGTGGTGTCTGGCCACAACACTGACATCTCTATCTCTTTGTATTTTTCCTATTGAAGGTCCTACAAAGAACAGTAGCCTAAAGTGAATATTCAAACACTGGGAAATGTGAGTCAATACGACTGGGTAGTATTTGAATAATGTAACATCACGTAACACTCAGGTCTCCTGGCATGATTAAGAGCACCACACAGACCTGCCCGCCAAAGTCACGCATTTAAGGACCGATTTTGCTCCCATCACTCAGAGGGTTTGTGTGAAGTACACCGTGCGTTGAAACCTGCCAGCTCTAACTGCATCTGCAAGGACTGCTGAGGTTAGCAGCAGCCGGGGTCTCCAGCTCACAGAGGATCGAGGAAACAGCCCCAAGTGAGACTGGCTGATGACATCACCACCAGCCCTCTCCAAACTGCAGCTTCAGCTGCTATCCAGTTAGTGATCGAACCCAAAGGAAGAATGGCAAAGGAACGCACAAGCCACACACAGACCAGAAAAGGCAGGGTGACGGCTGAAAAGCAGCGTGACGTCTCCAGTAACAAGAGCAGCTAAAGTAAAACAAGGAGCATTCCTAAAGAAGAGAGCGGCAGCAGTGAGAAGGAAGGATGGCACCGCGGAGCAGAGTCCTGGCAAGGGCAGCCCCCTGGTGGCAAACTGACTGCTACAAGCTCTCTGACTCAGCAACAGAATTTGCAGAAATTTATCCTAAAGAAAGTACCCAAAAGAAATGGACAAATATACATATAAGAATGTTCAAGACATCACTAATATGAAAAAGCTGTAAACAGCCTACATGAACTAAATACATTATGGTGTATTAAGATGTAGCTATTAGAAATAATGAGGCATATCTACATATTCTGCCAAGAAAGAGTCTCCAGGACATGTCGTGAAGCAGGAAGAGCAAGCTGCAGAAGAGCATATGTAGTATGAGATGAGTCAGTCAAGAGCCTGCATTCTAGGTCCGGAAAACTCTGCTTCAAAACCAGCGTGTGAACTGGAATACTCAGTATTCTTAAGGCAGCAATACTCCCCATGTTGACCTACAGATTTGATGTAATCCCTACCAACATCCCAGCTGCCTATTCTGCAAACTGACAAGATGATCCTAAAACTCACAGAAATGCATGGAAAGCACAATAGCCAAAACAATCTTGGAAAGAAAAAGGTTGGAGGGCACCCACTTTCCAATTTCAAAACTTACTGCACAGCTACAGTGATCCAGACAGTGTGGTACTGGCACAAGGACAGCAATACAGATGAATGGGACAAAAACAAGAGCCCAGAAATAAACCCTTCCATTTACATCAACTGATTTTCAACAAGGATGCCCAGACAACTCACTGGAGGACAGAAGTGTCTTTTCAACAAATGGTGCTGGAACAACTGGATATCTACATGCAAAAGAATGAAGCTGGACCCCTTCCTTACACCATATACAAAAATTAATAAAAAAGGACCACCGACCTAAATATAAAAACTAAAACAATAAAGCTCTTAAAAGAAAATATAGGGGCAAATCTTTGATCAGGCAAAATCTTCTAAGACACCAAAAGCATGTGTGACAAAAGAAAAAATAGATAAATTGGACTTAAAATTAAAAATTTGTGCTGCAAAAACACCATCAAGGAAATGAAAAGACAACCCACAGAATGAGAGAGAATACTTGCAAGTCCTATCTTTAATAAAAGACTTGTATCTAGAATATATAAAGACTCTTAAAACTCAATAATAAAAAGACAAACAATTTTTTAAATAGGGAAAGGATATGAACAGATACTTCTCCAAAGAAGATCCACAAATGGCCAATAAGCACAGGAGAAAATGCTCAACATCATTAGCCATCAAAGAAATGTACACCAAAATCACAATGAGAAAACACATCCACACACAATAAGACACCACTTCAGTGCAGGAGATCAAAATATGTCTCTTTACTTTGATTATTTTCTCGGACAGACATTTGACCTCCCCCACTAACTGCCTAAAGAATTTAACATAGAAGGCCTGTTCCAGGAAGGAGCCACTACGATATGATAGCTGTAGTATAATGTAAAATAGATGAAATAAGAAAGGCACCAACAAACCCATCTTATCAAAAATTCTGTCTCTCCAGCCACATTCTCTATAGGTGGCCCTGTAAAGAGTTGTCTGACAAATATTTGCATTTCCATCTCCATGTAAATTGTCTTCTTCCCCTCTGAAATCCCAAACCACTAACTCAACATCCTCCTCTGTCTACCTGAATATACAATATAAGGAGAAAAACCTCCGCCATTTGTGGAGAAACTCAGTTTCCCTGGTTTCTCCCATGTATACATGTTATTAAACTCTGATTTTCTACTATTTGGTCTCATGTCAATTTAATTTGTAGCCCAGCCAGAAAGGACCCAGAGTGGGTAGAAGATAGTCTTCCTCCCCTTCAACAGCTACTGGGATGGCTGTAATTAAAAAGACAGACAACAACGAGTGTTGGCGAGGATGTGGAGAATGAGAACCCTCACACATTGCTGATGGGAATGTAAAACGGTGCTGCTGCTATGGAAAACACTGGGAGTTCCCTGTGAAACAAAGTTATCACAAAACCTTGTAAACAAATGTTCATAGCAGCATTATTCATAATAGCCAAAAAGTGGAAACAACCCAAATGTCCATCAATTGATAAATGGATAAACAAAATGTGGTCTAGCCACACAATGAAATATTAAACAGCCATAAAAGAGTGAAATACTGACATACACTACAACATAGATGAACCTTGAAATTATGCTGAATGAACAAAGCTAGTCACAAAGTGCCACATACTGTATGACCCCATTTCTATGAAAGATCCAGAACAGGCAAATCCATAGTGACAGCAAGTAGATTCCTGTTGCCAGGAGCTGGGAAGGTTGAAAGGAACAGGGAGCAATTGCTAATGGGAATGGGGTTTCTTTTTGGGGTGATGAAAATGTTCTAAAATTGATCATGGTGATGGTTGCACAACTCTGTAAATATACTAGAAACCACTAGTATATTTACAGAGTATTTACAGAAACCACTAGTATATTTAAATGGGTGAATTGTATGGTATGTAAAAATCTCAATAAAGTTGTTTAAAAAAAAACCTCCCCAATGTACTTGCTACATGACCACCTCAGGGATGTCATTTAATTTCTCCAGGATTCAATTTCCTCATCAGAAAAACGAGGATAGGAATAGAAATCTATCTGACAGGGTTGTTTTCAGGATTACAGCAGATAATGAATTCATTCAGAAAACATCTAATAAATATCTGCTATGCAGCAGGCCCTGAGCGGGACGCTAGTAAGGAAGAAAGCATAATGCACTGCTTTGTATTAGCTGGAACACAGGAAATGCTCATGAAATGTTAGCAGTTCTCAGGACCAGGAGCGCTACTTCACATGCAGAGGGAGAGAAGCCGGAAAGAATGAATGGACATGTGAACTCAGGCGTCTGGGCTGGGAAGGGCAGTGAGGCACACACTCACCTTCCACCTTCTAATTTGCACACTGCAAAGTGTTAGTTTTTTTTTTAAGATAAACATACTAAATTTTTTATTACAAACTTAAATTCACAGAGAAAACAACGATGTAGAGAGAACTCTAGCTCTTTTCACGTTAAATTCACGCCTGATCCCTCCTGATATAAATGTTTTTATGTTGCTGTAATCGTTTTTTTTTATTTTAGCATTTTAGATACAATGTTCTTTGGTTGAACACAATCCACTTGTCTGTAATATGGTCGTAAAAAAAAAAAAAAATGATTATGGTATCCCAGCCAAACAATGTATCAAGTCTGCGTAATCATGCCCCAATTGATCACAGATAGACACTCCATATACATGTCTACAAATCAGGATCCCACGCTTGTATTAGAATGTTTCCCTTTGAAATATGGTCCCCGAGGTGGGATTAACACGATCTGCGCAGGTTTCGTAGGAGAATGCATATTCTAAGAGATGGCCCAGAGGAGTTGCCCCCCACCCCCCAGGCATCTGTTATCACAGCTTCTCTCTCCAGAGCGGAGGGAAGCAGGCGACGTTCTGTTCACAACCGCTCAATCGCCCAGCACTCCACAGCACTCCACAGACGTCGGCCGGCTTCCAGTTCTACACAGTGGCCTCCTTTTCTTTGTTTTGAGAATTTTCATTAAATAAAAAACTTTTAAATTCAAAGAGGTATCTGCAGGCATTCTTCAGTTCCTTGAGTGAGCACCAGGCACGACTCAGGATACGTGTTTTATTTTTACTTTTAAATTTTTTCCCCAGCTTTATTGAGGTACAGTTGACAACTAAAAATCTTATATATTTAAGGGGTGCAACTTGATGTTTTGATATATGTACACAGTGTGAAATAATCACCACCATCAGGCTAATTAACATAGCCATCACCAGACACAGGTGAGAAGGCTATTTTTCTGTGGTGCGAACACTTAAGATCTACCTACCTCTTGGCCAATTTCAAGTATACACCACAGCACTGTTAACTCTAGTCACCACACGGTCCATTAGATCCCCAGAACCTGTTCATCACGTGTAACTGAAAGTGTGTGCCCCTGACCCCAGGCCCTGGCAGCCACCATCCTCTATCCCTGCTTCTATGAGTTCCACTATGCTGACTCACACAGAAGGGAGACATGCAGTATCTGTCTTTCCGCGTTTGGCTTAGTTCACTTAGCATGATGTCCTCCAGAGGAAACGTATGTTTTAATCAACCCTTTGATGGATCTACTATCAATTTTAAAGTCAGAATACACCGCTCAATTCCATTCACCCCAGTCACCTGTCACGGCTACTGTTTCTCCTCAGTGATAATTCACGAGTTTGAAGAAAGTGAAATTTCAAACCCCAACTTTCACCCTATAGGCTGGAACTGGAAGATCCGTCATGGAAGGCAGCCTTAAAATTCATGTTCTCACTAAATGCTGTAAAGCCAACACACCTGTACCTTTTTAAAATGTCCTTTACAATCAGATTGCTAAGAAAATACAACTAACACCACAGCTCCATACACCTCCTTTCACTCAAGCTTTTGTTCAATTTAATGCAAAAGGTAAAAGCTGAGCTGAGAAGAGTCCCCGTCGGTTACTGACAATGATGAGGATGGTAAATCAGGTGTAGTATGACTGCCAGCCCTTCGCCGGGGGATTCCTAGACTTCTGGACTTCCTCAACTTCAGAGAAGTCATGTCTCCTAGTCTTCTCTGTAGACTGCTTCACTCCTTGATGTCCCAACGCAGATGTCCAGCATTCAACATTTAAAACAAGCTGGAATAACATGTTATAGCTAATTTCAAAAGGGCATGTGGCCGCACACCTTCTATGGCGTCAGGCACATTCTTTCATTTGGAGCTCACTCGCAGCCCCCGTGTGGCTACAGCACTGCCTTCTCCCACGGCTGGGGCGGGGGTAGGCATCATGGAGCACTAAGAAGGGCCCTGGGGACGTCAGGAAGGTCTGGGGGGGCAGTGTCCACCCACAGAGGGTCAGAGAATGCTGGGCAGAGGGAACACAGAATAGGGCTGGCATGCCATCCAGACCTTTTTATTTTCCCTGATCTCAGGTGGTATTTATTTCTATTTCAACTTCTTGACGATAAAAAATTATTTTCATCTTTTTAGAGTAAAAGTAGGCATAAAATGAATTTTTAGTAATAAAGAAGAGCATAAATGATAAATGAAAAAGAAAATGAATGTATGTATCACGTAGAGGGTGAACTAGGGTCTTATGCCCACTCCGTATCACTGCAAGCCTGGCTAGGCTGTGTGTGTGCTGGTTTTATCAGAAAAGGATGACAGGGGAGCCGGCCCGGTGGTGCAAGTGGTTAAGTGCGTGCGCTCCGCTGCAGCGGCCTAGGGTTCACCGGTTCGGATCCTGGGTGCGCACTGACGCACTGCTTGGCAAGCCATGCTGTGGTGGCGTCCCATATAAAGTGGGGGAAGATGAGCACGGATGTTAGCCCAGGGCCAGTCTTCCTCAGCAAAAAAAGAGGAGGATTGGCAGATGTTAGCACAAGGCTGATCTCCTCACAAAAAAAAAAAGAAAGAAAAGGATGGCAGGGAACACAACCGAGGTCAAAGCTGCAAACCAACAGGACTATGGGGCTGAGACCCAGGGTTTTTTAGACCCAACGAGAAACTCAGGAAGATCAGAGAAGCACCAGGTTAAGAAATTAGACTAACAGAGCTTTCAAGAGAACCCAGCTGATAACAAAAAGCTAGAACCAACAAAATACCTTTTGGGTTTTTATCTAAATGTGTAACTTAAGCAAAAATAAAGTCCTCTCCCACGCAGGGCATCTGTGACAGTGACTTCGACTGTCCCTGCTGTATCACGTACTGGGCCTAACTGGGCATTGTGCAAAGCACTTTACAAGATGCGGCTCACAGTAACTCCCGGGGGCACAGTCACCCCCTTCAGAGGGGAGGCACGAGGCCCAGCAGGCTGAGCAAGCTGCCAGGGTCCCCAGCAGGAAGGGGGTCATGCTGGGGGGTGGATTCGAGCCTGGCCCCAAACCTTGTCCAATGCTAACAAAGCTCAGCCTGGACGCTGGGGCTCCCTAGCCCGTCGGGTATAAAACACCTGAATGGCGGGGCGACACTCACGAAATAGCAGAGCAGTTCCACAGTGACTTCCTCCTGCTGCAGCATGCAAGAGCCAGTGCCCCAGGAGTAAAACAGATTCCTTCAATCTGGTTTGGTTTTAAGATCATCACTATCCTTAGTTCCTCCTCTATCCCCCAAATCAAATTCTATCCATCTTAATTACCCGACAAAGAGGCACACAGAACACCACACAACGGACAATGCAAGAAAAATGCTTCCGTCCTGACTTCAGGGGATCTAGGCGCCAAGGCCCCCGGGGGAGGCGCATGGAGTAATTCCACACATTACCACATACCTTGACGGTGCTGAGAAGAACGTGGTCTCTACCTAAGCCAGGTCCGACGACCAGGGCGTGCAGTCGGGGCAGCCACTTTCCCACGTCTTGAACAGCATTAGGGCTGTCACTAAACAAGGAAAAGAAGGGCAGAACGGTTCACTCACCGTTTTCATTTATTAGTGAAACTACAGATTTTTCTGAATTTCTCCAGTTCTTCCCCCTGTCGTTTTCCTGTTCCAGGATCCAAGCCAGGACCCCAACCTGCATGTAGCCATCATGTCTCCCAGTCTTCTCTGTAGACTGGTTCACCTTCTAACGCCCCAACGCAGATGTCTAGCTTTCAACATCTAAAACAAGTTGGAATAAGATGTTATGACTAATTTCAAAATTACCTTTGCCAGTTTGTTTCCATCACAAAGAAGGACAGTATATACTCTGCACACTTACAGATGGTCCCTTACGTCAGACATACTGGGGAAGTCATCTGAACGACTCATGCAGCTGACCCTCTCTAACATGAAGCGCCCTCATTTAAAACAAGAACCGACAGCTGCACAGGATTTTGTTGTTTGTTCGCAACACCGTCCTGCTCATCATCTCATTTCCTAGACTCTAAGAACCCACTCTATAAGGCTGTCCCCCACAAAAGCTGCCCTTGTTGAGGTCTGTGAGATCCAACCACCATTCTTAGTCCTCATCTCTGACTGACTATAGGGACATGGGCTCTTCTAGAACAGTCTGTCAACAATTCTTCACTGACTCCAGGACACCCCTCCTGGCCTCTTCCACCTCCCCACCTATCTGCGTGCCAGGCCCTCCCTGCCTACATGCACTTCTGGGTGGCCTTATCCTTGTCTCCTGGCTTTAAACATCTTCCACAAGGAAGTTAACAATTCCTAGATTTACACCCTCCCTGACTGCCTCACTCCTATCCACTGCCTACCAGCCACGTCTGCTTGGATGTCTAACAGGCAACTAAAACACACCTAAAACCCAACTCCTGATCGTCACCACCGCCCAAACCCACTCCCCCTGTTTCCCCACCTCACTAAATGATGCTGTCTTGGACCAGACCCTGGGTGGCCTTCATGACTCTCATCTTTTCCTTGTACCCCATATCCCATCTGTCAGCAGAGCCTGGGGCTGTGCTTCCCAAATGTACCCAGAATCTGACCCCTCTCCTGTTTCTACCCATCATTCACCTATCACCAGGACCCTTAAAACAGCCTCCTAGTGGGACCCTGCTTCCACCCTGGGCCCCAAGAGCTTATTCTCAACACAGCAGCCAGACGTCCCTTTCAAAACGTAAACTGGGTCCTGCCCCTCCCCTGCTCAAATGCTCCAGCAGCCCCCTTCTCATTTACGTGAGAGCCAAAAACCCTCACAACGACCCCCCATGACCTGCAAGGCTTGGCCCTGAACCTCTCTGGTCCCCCCTCTCTGGTGCACCCTGAGCCCCCAAGTGCTCCAACACGCCCGCAGCTTGAGTTCTTGCACCAGCTCTTCCCAGCGTATGGAGGGTGCCCCAGCCCCCCATGTCTGCAGGACTTGCTCCCTCACCATTTTCGGGTCTTGACTTGAATGCACTCTCCGTGCCACTGCCCATGAGCATCCTCTTAAAAAGGCCACCCACGCCAAACAGCACCCACACACAGCCAGCACTCTGTCTCCTTCCCTGCTCCTGCTCTCCCTCGGACACACTGTTATCTTACTTATTTGTCTGTCTCCAGAGCTGTGTTGGCCAACACAGTAGACACCAGTGACATGTGGCTATCTAAATTTAATTAAAATTAAAGTAAAAACTCCGTTCCTGAGTCCCAGTGGCCACATTTCAGGTGCTCGGTAGCTACATGTGGTCAGTGACCACAGTCCTGGACGGCACCCAAGAGAGAACACTCTCATCACTGCAGAAAGTTCCAGGGCACAGGGGCACCCTGGACAGGAAGCTGCAGGGGAGCGGGTGTTTATGCCTGCTTGGTCCGGTGCTGTCCCCGTGGAACCCAGGACAGGGCCTGGCAGCGGAAACGTGCTGAGGGAACAGTCTTGTTACTGCCCGACAGCCCCCCATTCCTGCCACAGAAGCACTGCCAGAGGCAGGTCCCCAGACCTCTCCTGGACCTAGGACTTTTCAGCCATTTCTGATGGGCCACCAGGAGCAGCCCTAGGCATGTCACCCCACGCTGTAGCACACGGCTGTCTGTCTGTCTCCTTCTGACCACAGACAACGGGCTCATTAGAGTCTTCTCATTTCTCCTGACAGCACCTGCCTACCAAGCCCCCGTACAGCAGCTACTCAGCAGAGGCTCTGAGAGAGCAAGCGTGAGAAGGCCCGTGACCGCAGAGAGCCTCGGCAGGCAGAGCTTCCCAGTGGCCCCACTCACAGAACTGGGTGGACAATCAGCTCCGGGCTGTAGGACTTGATCACAGGCGCGGCCTCCCGGGTACAGAACACGTGCGACAAATCTGCGCCCTGAGAAATGAGCACAAGAGGCTGACTCAAAGCAGGACTCGCCCCAGACACCCGAAGTGGTTGTGGCACTCCCCACACCCCACAGGACACGTGGTATTCAACCATTCAAATTAATCAACACTACCGGTAAAAGACAAATATCCGACGACAGCAGTTCAACTAGAGCTTAGGAGAAGGACGTAGGCTGAAAAAAGACCTGGAAACAAAGGCGGACTGTTGCTGCCACCTAAGAGGCCAGTCGACCAGACTGGCTTAGGCTGCCCACCTACGAGGTGCGCAGGAAGCAGTACAGCCACAGGGCCCAGTGCAGGTCACGTTAACTGTGCTGACTGGGCCGTCAGGACTGGATCAAAATGCACGGGAAATTGCCCAGGTTACAAGACGTCAACTGACTAAGCTTGGACTGAAAAGGCATCCCAGGATGATTGTGGTGAAGTACAACACTAATAAAACTGTAGTTTAAAAAAAATGAGTTTCTTTTTTTTGTTGTTGTGAGGAGATCAGCCCTGTGCTAACATCTGCCAATCCTCCACTTTTTTTGCTGAGGAAGACTGGCCCCGGGCTAACATCCATGCCCATCTTCCTCCACTTTATATGGGACACCGCCACAGCACGGCTTGCCAAGCAGTGTATCAGTGCACGCCCGGGATCCGAACCAGCGAACCTCAGGCCGCTGCAGTGGAACGCGCGCACTTAACCGCTTGTGCTACCAGGCCAGCCCCAAAAAGGAGTTTCAATTCAAGTTATTTTGTCACTGCCCAAGAGGTCAGGATAGATTTAAAGGTGTTTCTCTCACCCGTGATCACCCTAGGATGTCATATAGATTTCTATCAGAAAACATTTCTTTTTTTTTTTTTTTTGTAAGGAACATCAGCCCTGAGCTAACGTCTGCCAATCCTCCTCTTCTGCTGGGGAAGACTAGCCCTGGGCTAACATCCGGCCGATCTTCCTCCACTTTATGTGGGATGCCACCACAGCACGGCCTGACACGTGGTGTGTTGGTGTGCACCCGGGATCCGAACCCAGGCCACCAGCAGCGGAGCACAGACACTTAACCGCTACGCCATGGGGCTGGCCCCAGAAAACATTTCTTTAATCATATTTGAAGAATCCAACTCTTCCCAATAAAGAAGCTATAAGTAAACATACCACTTTGAGAGCTGAGATGGCTGCAAAATAGGGGGCTCCCGTGTACCTAAAAAGAAGATATTCACAGTCAAAAACTTCTGAGCATGAGACCATCACCCCAGGTTTATCAATAAATTACACAGACATGAAGCACATAGCACAGCGCCCAACTCCTGACAGGGGCTCAGTAAACACGATCAGAACCAGAGAGGTCAGTCTCTCACACGAGACCTTTCTACCATGTCAAGAGAGGCCAATTCTGGCTCCCCGTGACTGCATTCCCTCTGTAAGGCTATGCTCAAACTGAAGGCTGGAGAAGACGGTGAGAGTTAACCAAAGGAATCTGCCAGGAAAGACGCCGTGCTTGAGGTGACCACAGTTCAGAACACTCCAAGTGGACAGTGCCCCATTCCCCGAGAGCAACAGTGCACAGAGGCAACAGTCATCTCAGACTGCAGGCCAGCCAGGGGACCCAGGACAAAAAGAAGAAGAAGAAACTCACACACCTCCCTCTCGCTTCCATCGTATTGTTCCAGAATGCCTGTAACTCTATTTTTATAGTTGCCTCAAGCACAGAAAGGAAAATCCTTGAACTTGTCATGAGATGAGCGACTGTAAGGTTTTATGTCAATTCCAAGCAGTGAAGAGATTTGCTAACCCAGGAAAAAGAAACTGGGGATAACACAGTGCACTCTACACACGTGACACTCTCCTGCAGTGCAGGGCCACCAGCGGGCCAGAAATGGCAAAGGACAGGACATGTGAGAGACACATAAAGACACAGACACACACACAGACAGACACACACACACACACACAGGGAATGTGTTATAAATGAAAGGGAATTTTCACAGACTTTTAAGGCGCAAATGAAGCTAGAGGACAAGGCGATCACATGCACAGATTACCAAGAGGAAATGACTGCTCCCGAGGAATCCCACTCAGCCAAGGCCCAGCTCCATCCACCTGCACAGCAGGCGCAGTGGATGTGCAAGGAGCAGGGGGTCACCTACACACTCTGCTCAAAGAACATGCCAGAAGACGCCAAGGGCCCCATCTAAACTGCAGACCCCCAGGGAGGGCAGGAAATAGGCAGCAGGGCGTCTGGCAGTATACAGAGTTATGTTAGTAGTTATGGGTTCAGCTAGGAAATCTTAGACCAAGTGTTACCTAAGGCAGCTGGACACCAGAGAGGGCAAAGGGGATGAAAAGTCATCTGAAGGGTCCACCTTTGTGGCAAACAATCACCAACACTCTCTCCCTTGAGTGGCACTTGGAATTCATCATGGTAGTTAGAAAGGACAACCACGAGCTGAATTTGAAAGTATAACAGATTTAGGGGCTGGCCCGGTGGCACAGCGGTTGAGTTCTCGCACTCGGCTTCGGTGGCCTGGAGTTCACGGGCTCAGATCCCGGGCAGGGACCTACACACCTCTTATCAAGCCATGCTGTGGCAGGTGTCCCACATACAAAATAGAGGAAAGATGGGCACAGATGTTAGCTCAGGGCCAATCTTTCTCAGCAAAAAGAGGACTGGCAACAGATGTTAGCTCAGGGCTAACCTTCCTCACCAAAAAAAAAGTAAGTATAAAAGATTTATAAATTAATAAAAGGAAAACCCTAGCAAAAGGCAAGAAAAAAAGGAAGCACCAAATAAAATAAAGAGGAAACATGACCAGCTTTAGAAGGTGCATCAGGCAGACTTTAAATGAGAACAGGTTTATCTTCCTTATTAAAAAGGGCAGTCACTGTCATACTGGGTAAAGAAACAAACTCTAGCTACATATTATTTACAATAAATATACCTAACTACACAATAAACTGTTGAAAATATGGGGCTAGGCAAAGAGACAGCACATAAATGCAAAGAGAGATTAAGCAGAAACTGAAACGGTAACCCAGGTGGAATTTAATTCAAAGGCAGCAGGCATCATTTTCAAACAAGGACAAATTATAAATATCTGTGTGCCAAACAACAGGGCAGCAAAATATATAAAACAAGAAGATAAAACAGGTCTTGAGAAAAGCTAGGATCTGTCAAATTTCATAAATGAATTCCAGGAATATCTTTAAATTAACAAAGTAAACCAAGCAGATGCTGAGTGTTTTTATCCTGATTACAAAGTAATACATGTTTATAGTATGAACTCGGGTCAATACAGAAAAGTATAAAGGAAGAAAAAATAGTCTTATCCCCCCACTACAGGCAAAACCTTAACAGTGACACACACCAGCAAACAGCTCAGTCAGGGCCCCTCAGAGTTTTCTCCCATTCGATCCAAGTTCATCACTGAAAATGACCAAGTGTCACAGTATCAGACTATGTCTAGAAACGGGGTCCGACTGGACAGACAGATGGACGGATGGCTGGCTGGCTGGCTGACAGGTAGGCAGACAGCCAGATAACAGAGACGGATTGTTTCAACATTAACATCTCCAAGTCACTCACTCTTGGCAGCCTCCAACTACGCCTATTCTTCCATCTTGGCCTTTGTGCTTCTTGGTAGTTAGAGGAGGTATGATGTTTCTCACCAACTGAAAAGTAGTTTCCATATCCTTTATCGAATGTGCTTTATTCAGCCAAAACGCTCTTTCTAAAACTGAGAAACAGGAAAATGCAATCATTCAGAAAGGGAAATATCTGTGAGTATACATAAAGAACAGAGACTTAAACAAACTACCCCATTAACCAAAACACTTCCCCAAGTTAACTTCATATGAACACCAGATTTTTATCCACAGCTTTCACTATTTTATTTCTGTAAGCAAATGATGTTTAGAAATTACAACACAACACTAACACACGCTGTATATATCAAGTTTGTTTCCGAAATGTTCCAGATATTTTGGAAGTCTACGTAATCTTTCAGAAAGTTTTTTAAAAATGCATTATTACTGGGCCTGCCCCGTGGCTTAACGGTTAAGTGCTCGCGCTCCGCTGCTGGCGGCCTGGGTTCGGATCCCAGGCTCGCACCGACACACCGCTTCTCTGGCCATGTTGAGGCTGCGTCCCACATACAGCAGCTAGAAGGATGTGCAGCTATGATGTACAACTATCTACTGGGGCTTTGGGGGGGAAAAAATAAATAAATAAATAAATAAAAATTTTTTAAAAATGCATTATTACTTAATAAACTACACATATTTCATTTCAATCTTCCTTTAAGTTTATCAGGTCTCTTCTCTCAAATTGGAAAAGCAACACCCCCATTTCTTACTTTCCACTGTCACATTCGAGTCTGACAGAGTCATATTATTCTCAATTTAATTTTCCAGTCTTACTTCCAACACACAATTAGATACTAATTAAATAACCTAGAAATAGCATTCTAGGGCCAGCCCCATGGCTTAGTGGTTAAGTCCACGCGCTCCGCTGCTGGCGGCCCGGGTTCGGATCCCAGGCGTGCACCAGTGCACGGCTTCTCCGGCCATGCTGAGGCCGCGTCCCACATACAGCAACTAAAAGGATGTGCAGCTATGACATACAACTATCTACTGGGGCTTTGGGGGAAAAAATA